CCCCCGGGGGGCCCCCCGGGGGGCCCCCCGGAGGGCCTCCAGGGGGGGGCCCCTGGGGGGCCCCCGGGGGGGCCCCCGGAGGCGCGCCGCCGGGGGGGGGCCCCTGGGGGCCCCCGGAGGGCGGGGGGGCCCCCAGGGGCCCCAGGGGGCCCCGGGGGCCCCTCTCCGAGGAAAAGGGCCCCACAGGACCCATTGGGGGGCCCCCCGAACTGCTGCGGAGAGACAAAGAGGGGTGGGGGGCCCCCAAGGCTGGGGGCTGGCAAAGAGGCTGCATAGGGGAGGGAGGCCAAGGGAAGCAGAGTGGCTAGCTGGCTAGCTAGCTAGCTAGCTAGCTGGCTAGCTGGCAGCTAGCTAGCCGCGGGAAACAGTTGGGCTGGCCAGCTAGCTAGCTAGCTAGCTAGCGGGGCTGGTGGCTGGCTGGGGCCGCCGGGCCAGCTAGCTAGCTAGCTAGCTGGCTAGCTAGCTAGCTAGCTAGCTAGCTGGCTGGGGGCTGCGAGCTGACAGGCCGACAAAGACAAGAGGCGCAGCTAGCCAACAGCTAGCTAGCTAGCTGGAGACAAAGAAAAGAAAGTCCTTTTGCTGCTGCAGTCCGGAAGCGTCTGCTGCGATGGGCGGCCGTGTGGGGCGTGAGGTGTACGTACACCTGGCGCGGGGCGGCGCGCAGCAGCAGCAGCAGCAGCAGCAGCAGCAGGAGCCCGGAGGCGGCGCGACTTGCGGCGAAGCAGCAGCAAAGGAGCTGCTGCTGGCTGCTGCAGCAGCAGCAGCAGCAGCGCAGCAGGAGGGGCCCCGGGCGGGAAAGAAGAACTAGAAAAAAAGAAAGTGAAGCATGTGAGCGGCAGATAGCCAAGAGGGCCTGCGGCTGCGGTGTATGTACACCCGAGCGCAGCAGCTGCTGGCGCGCGCAGCAGCAGCAGCAGCAGCAGCAGCAGCAGCAGCAGCAGGCAGGGGGTCAGAAGGGCGAAAAGAAAGCCGAAACAAAGACGCACCAGATAGGGCGATGCGATGCTGCTGCTGCTGCTGCAGCAGAGCAGCAAAAGCCCAGCAGCAGCAGCACAGCTTCTGCTGCAGTGAATAGCAGCGGGGACTCAAAAGAGAGCGATTAAAGAAATGCTTTCAGTTTGAAGGCCCGAACGAGAAAGCGACAAAGTTTTGCAGTGTACAGACACCTCGCAGCAGCAGCAGCAGCAGCAGCAGCAGCAGCAGCAGCGACACACATGTCTAGCACGGTGGTCAGGGGGCCCGCGGCTCTCGCGCTGCTTCGGCCCGAAACCCTAAACCCTAAACCCTAAACCCTCGCGCGCCGCGCAGCAAACCCTCGCTTTTCCCTTCAACTCTTGCTGCTCTCTCCAGAGACGCCGAAATCCTTTGCTGCTGCTGCAGAGACGTGCTGCAGCAGATGCTGCCCCTGGGGTCACCTCTGCTGCTGCTGCTGCCTGCAGCAGCAACACTTTTGTCTCAGTGAAATAAAAGACTTTGAATTAATTTCAAGTTCTCCTTTTTGCTTCGCCGCGCTGCGCCTGCGGCCTGCGCCGCCGCCCCCGCCGCTCGCTCCACCTCCGCCGTCCCGCGCGCCTCGCCGGCGGCCCCCGCGGCTTCTTTTCCGTTTTATTTCTTTTAATTTCAATTTTTAATTTCCATTTTGCGTTTATTTCGCAATTTCGCTCCAAAAAACTCCAAAAAACTCCAAAAACGCCCCGCACGGCGCCCGCCGCCGAACGACCGCCCGCCCGCCGCGTCGCGGTGTACGTGACTGGTTCGTTCGCCCCCCGAAACGCCAAATCGGCGCAACCGCTTTGAAATTCCGAAAATTAAATTCAAATTGCGATTTTTTAAACTCATAATTTCCCGAATTCGCGCGAAAACGCCGCGGATCCGCCGCCAAACGAGGACCCGGCGCCGCCTTGGTCCGGATCGGCGCCGCCTGCGGCGTCTGCGGCCAGGCACTCCGAAACAGCCTCTAAACGAAATAACAACAAAAATATAAATGAAATTCAAACATTAGTGCAGTTTCTGCGGCGTTCGACTTGAACGAACTCGCGGGGTCTCGGGTGTACAGACACCTCGGCGAGCTGCGCGCACGGCGCGGAAACCCTCATTGCTTTCCCCCCGAAAAAAAGCGAATTCCGCGGAAATAAATTCGAAAATGAAAAGCCCAGGCCGTTTAATTAATTCTTTTTTCGCTATTTCCCTTTTTCTGGCCTCTTTTCGAGCTCCTTTTCCCTGCGAATCCGCAGCTTTCCCCCCCGAAACGGAAACTGCCGCCGAACCGGAAGCCAGCGTTTCCGCGTTTCCCGCCGCCCAAAACGCCGTTCAACTTCCGCCTTCTGCAGTTTCTCCCGAGGGCGTTTTGTTTGAAAACAAAAGCGAAGAAAATGTCCAAACTTTCAAAGTCCCGGGCGTGGGCTTGCCCATAGAAGAGAGCGACCAGGTGACTCGCGCTGCGCGACTGAGGGCTTTCTGCGCTTCAAAAAAAGCCCTTTTTAACTTTATTTCGTTTTTAAAATCTTTTAACTGCAAAAGAGTTTCATTTCTTTCGGGTTTCTGCACTGGGGGGTGCTGCAGCGGGGTGTCTGCGCAGCTCCCGCTGCTGCTGCCGCCGCCAAACTTGAATCTGGCATCATTTTTTATTCTTTTTCTTTTTTTTTGAATTATTTTTCCACTTTTTCAGGTTCCTTTTGTGTTTATCAACAATGTGGCCACGGAAAGCCCCAAAGCCGCCGCTTTGCCGGGCCTGTCGGAGGCGCTGGCGGGCCCCCCTGGCGAGTTGAATCTGCGGGACTAAAGGGGCTTTTTTTTCCGTTTTTGCAAATTAAATGTTCATTTTTGCAAATAAAATGTTTATTTTTGCAAATTAAATGTTTATTTTTGCAAATTAAATGAATTGTTTTATTAATTTGGGATTTAAATGAACAATTAAATCAATTAAATCCGCTTTCCACGCAAAATCCCAACTTGAATTGCCCGCCGCTGCAGAACCCACGGAGTCCCTCGAACAGCGTAAGCCCCCCAGCAGCGACTTCAAACAAATTCAATTTATTTTATTTTATTTCTTTTAATGCCATTTGCAAATTAAATTATTTATTTTATTTCAATTAATTTGCAAATTTATTTTATTTCATTTCAATTAATGCCATTTGCAAATTAAACTTATTTTATTTTATTTCAATTAATGCCATTTGCAAATTAAGTTTATTTATTTTGTTTCAATTAATTTGCAAATTAAATTTATTTCATTTCATTTAATGCCATTTGCAAATTTATTTTATTTCTTTTCATTTAATGCCATTTGCAAATTAAATTTATTTATTTTATTTCATTTAATGCCATTTGCAAACTTATTTTATTTCATTTCATTTAATGCCACTTCCAAATTAAATTTATCTTTTTAATTTCGTTTAATTTGCAAATTTATTTTGTTTTATTTCAACTAATGCCATTTGCAAGTTTATTTTACTTTATTTCATTTCATTTAATGCCATTTGCAAATTAAATTTATTTTATTTCATTTCATTTCAAATAATACCATTTGCAAATTAAATTTATTTTATTTTATTTCAATTGATTTGCAAGTTTATTTTATTTTACTTCAATTATTTTATTTCGATTAATTTGCAAATTAATTTTATTTATTTTATTTCAATTTATTTTATTTTATTTTATTTTATTTTATTTTATTTTTAATTTCAGTTAATGCCATTTGCAAGTTAAATTTATTTATTTTATTTCAATTAATTTTTGCAAATTTATTTTATTTTGTTTCAATTTATTTTATTTTATTTTATTTTATTTCGATTAATTTGCAAATTAATTTTATTTATTTTATTTTATTTTATTTTATTTTATTTTATTTTATTTTATTTTATTTTATTTTATTTTATTTTATTTTTAATTTCAGTTAATGCCATTTGCGTTTCTTCTTTGGGAGCTCCTTTCGCCTATTCTCCCAGGTGGGCAGCGAACTGCGTTTTGAATTAATTTAAATTTATTTTTAATTTGTTTTTAATTTAATTTAAATATATTTTTAATTTAAATTTAATTTAAATTTATTTTAAATTTAAATTTAATTTGAATTTAATTTAAATTTATTTTGAAGTTAATTTTAATTGTATTTGAATTTAATTTACTTCTATTTTGAATTTAATTTGAATTCAATTTACTTTTATTTTAAATTTGTTTTTAATTCAGTTTGAATTTAATTTACTTTTGTTTTAAATTTATTTTTAATTTAATTTGCTTTTATTTTTATCTAATTTAAATTTAATTTGAATTTGATTTGAATTTAATTCACTTTTATTTTTAATTTATTTTAAATTCAATTTGAATTTAATTTGAATTTAAATTACTTTGATTTTGAGTTTAATTTGAATTTATTTTGAATTTATTTCAAATTATATCTGAATTTAATTTGAAATATATTTGAATTCAATTTAAATTATATTTGAATTTAATTTGAATTTAATTTGAAGTTGATTTGACTTTAATTTGAACTTAATTCAAACGTAATTTAATTTGAATTACATTTCAATTTAATTCAACTCGAATTCCACTTGAATTTTCTATTAATTTAATTTAATTTAATTTAATTTAAATTTAATTTAATTTAATTTAATTTAGTTTAATTTAATTTAATTTAATTTAATTTAATTTAATTTAATTTAGTTTAATTTAATTTAATTTAATTTAATTTAATTTAATTTAATTTAATTCATTTTAATTTAATTTAATTTAATTTAATTTAATTTAATTTAATTTAATTTAATTCAATTTAGTTTAATTTAATTTAATTTAATTGAAATATAATTTAATTTAAATTTAATTTAATTTAATTTAATTTAATTTAATTTAATTAAATTTAATTGAAGTTCAAACTGGCCTTCTTTCTGCTGCTGCAGCAAACGCCTCTGCGAGCCAGCTTACCTCGTCCAGGCCGAAGCAGAAGAAGCAGCAGCAGCAAAAGAAGCAACACTGCAGCAGCAACTCACTCCGCAGCAGCAGTACCACCAGGCCCTTCTAGAGGCCGCCCCTTAGCTGCTGCTGCTGCTGCTGCTGCTGCTGCTGCTGCTGCTGCTGCTGCTGCTGTTCGCAGTGTGGCTAAGCCCCTGCTTCGTGCAGAGACAAGGGTTTTGCCGCTGCTGCTGCAGCAACGCTGGGTGCTACACATCAGCTTTTGTTTTTTTGGCTTTCAAAAAAAACAAATTAGAAAAAGGCCCTTAGTGCGTGCTGCTGCGAGCTGTCTAGACACCCCACAGGGGGCGCTGCTAAGTGCATTCGCTAAGCCCCGAAAGAGCAGCAGCAGCAGCAGCAGCAGCAGCAGCAGCAGCAGCAGCAAAAAGAACCTCAATAGTAATCAAGCCTGAGAAACTGCGAAGAGGCGTCTATACACCTGAACTTAGTTGCTGCCTGACAGGCAGCAACTTCACAGAGAGGCGCAGCAACAGCAGCAGCTGCTGCTACAGCAGCAGCAGCAGCAGCAGCAGCAGCAGCAGAACTGGACGTTGGCTTCGACGGCATCGCAGATTGCATGCAATTAGAGACTCCCAAATGGCTGCCAGCAAAAGCGTCAAAACAGAAAAAGGAAAAATAAAATAAAAGGAAAAAAAATAAATAAAATATAAAATAAAATAAAAGAATAAAATTAAAGAAATATAAAACAAAATAAAATAAATAACAAATAAAATAAAACAAAATAACAAATAAAATAAAACAAAACAATAAAATTAATAAAATATAAAACAAAATAAAATAAATAAAATAAAATAAAATAAATAAAATAAATAAAATAAAACAAATAAAATAAAATAAATAAAATAAATAAAACAAAATAACGAAATAAAAGAAAAGTACAAAAAGGCCTTTTCGGCTCTCCATTTGCAACTCCGAAATTCCAAAAGTTCGGCGCAGAGCAACGCAGCTGCCCAACGGCAGCCACTGCAGCAAGCGGCTAGCTAGCTAGCTAGCCAGCTAGCTAGCTAGCCAGCTAGCTAGCTAGCTAGCTAGCTAGCTAGCTGGCTGCGGAGGGTTTGCTGCCTTCCTCCTTTTGGGGTTTGCGATCTTTCTGAAGAGCGGCAGCCCCAGGGGCTGCCTTGGGGGTTCGATTCCCTCTGCAAGTTTTAAGTTTGGAAATTTAGTTTTAATTATTTTTATTTCTTCTTTTCCCACTTTTGCTGCACTCTCCAGCAGCAGCAGCTGCAGAGAGGGGGCCCCCCGCAGCAGCACTTCCAGCGCGGCCCCTGTCACCTGCGGGCACGCTGCAGCAACAGCAGCAGCAGCAGCAGCGCAGCAGCAGCAGCAGCAGCAGCAGCAGCAGCGCAGCAGCAGCAGCAGCAGCAGCAGCAGCAAGCACGGGGTTACTGCGAAGTAAATGAAACTGACAATTAGGCGAAGCAAACGGGGCCGAACCGACGCAGCAACAGCAGCAGCAGCAGCAGCAGCAGGAATAGCAGCAACTCAGCAGCAGCTGCGGCCACAGCAGCAGCAGGATAGCAGCAACGAGGCAGCAGCCAGAGCCGCAGCAACGCAGCAGCAGCAGCAGCCGCAGCAACACAGCAGCAGCCACAGCCGCCGTGACGCAGCAGCGGGGCGCAGCAGCAGCAGCCGCAGCAGCACCAGCATCACCAGCAGCAGCAGCAGCAGCACCAGCATCACCAGCAGCACCAGCAGCAGCAGCAGCACCATCATCATCAGCAGCAGCATCAGCAGCAGCACAGCAGCAGCAGCAGCAGCATCACCAGCAGCAGCAGCAGCATCACCAGCAGCAGCAGCAACACCAGCAGCAGCAACAGCATCACCAGCAGCAGCAGCATCACCAGCAGCAGCAGCAGCAGCAGCAGCAGCAGCAGCAGGAGCAGCACGAACCCCTGAGGTCGAGCAGCAGCAAGTTGCTGCAGCAGCTTCTTCTGGAAAGTTGGAGAAGACTTTCGTCATTTAAAGTTTTCGAATTTGCAAGTCGAAGCACTTTTAGTCTTTTGCTTTTTTCGCTGAGCCGCTGCAGCACGCCAGCCCCCAAGTCCCCGCACCCGCTCAAGTCCGCCTGCGAAACCCCAAACCCTAAACCCTAAACCCTAAACCCTAAACCCTAAACCCTAAACCCTAGAGGCCGCGCGAGCAAGAGCGGACGGAGAAGCAAAAGGGGAGGCACTCGCGGAGCTGGGCAGCACGCACGGCTTGGCTGGGGATCAGCAGTCGCTAGCGCTTAGGGTTTAGGGTTTAGGGTTTAGGGTTTAGGGTTTAGGGTTTAGGGTTTAGGGTTTAGGGTTTAGGTCTTCTGGAGGTGGGGCAGCAAGGCGAAGCAGTGACTCAGCTGGACGTCCGAGTCGGCTTTGCAGCAAAAAGATAAATCCAAAATCAGCAGCTGCCGGTGCCCAGCCAAGAAAACGCGAAGCGACTGCTGCAGCAGCAGCAGCAGCAGCAGCAGCAGCAGCAGCAGCAGCGGCAGCAGCAGCAGGAGAGCGAGAAAAGGAGCAGCGTGAGGAGTAGGAACAGCAACAGCGTTGGAGAGTTTTCGTAAACTGTCGCCTCGCTTGCCTTGGCTGCGCCTGGGCAAACCCTAAACCCTAAACCCTAAGCCCTAAACCCTAAACCCTAAACCCTACCTCCCAAACCGTGAAAGCTAAACCCTAAACGCTTCGATTTCAAGTTGCTGCTCTGCCTCTTATCTTTGTCGCTTTCTCTCCCGTCGTGTTCCTTTTTTCTTTTTTATTTTATTCTTTGCTATTCTGGAACAGCTCGACCCCCAAACCCTAAACCCTAAACCCTAAACCCTAAACCCTAAACCCTACTTCAGCTGTTATGCTGCTGCAGCTGGAGCAGTTGAAGGAAATTAGCCGCGGGAGAGCTCCAGCGAGGACATTCAGGCCTAGAGGCAAACCCAACAAGCCCAAACCCTAAACCCTAAACCCTAAACCCTAAACCCTCAACTTCGCATTAAAAGCCTAGGCCCCAAACCCTAAACCCTAAACCCTAAATCGGGGCTCTCACAGCTGTTTGTAAAGCCGGGGCAGCGCGCGACTTGTAATTCTTGCAACCAATTCAGCGGGGCCAAATATTCAACACTGAACACAAACCCTAAACCCTAAACTCTACACGCTAAACCCTAAATCCTGAACCCTAAACCCTAAACCCTAAACCCTAAACCCTAAACCCTAATGCGCTCAGTAGCGCTGCCCACTTTTGCTCGTTGACGGCGTTGACGCAGCCCGAAAGATTTAGCGCTCTTAACCACTGCAGCGCAAACCCTAAACCCTTGTTTTGATGTCTCAAACCCTAAACCCTAAACCCTAAACCCCAAACCCTAAACCCTAAACCCTAAACCCTAAACCCTAAACCCTAAACCCTAAAAATTGGACAGCAGCGTGGCTTCTAAGTACCAAAGTAGCACTGCGGCAAGCTGTCACTGCTTTAAGCGCTAAGTAGGGATCATAGGTTGGGGGCTACAGCAGAGTGTGGGGTTTAGGGTTTAGGGTTTAGGGTCTAGGGTTTAGGGTTTAGGGTTTAGGGTTTAGGACTAAAGAGCCTCGCTTAGGAGTATCACCTTCATTGAGGCAAGAAAGGACAGACTCGAGAGGCCGCTGCAGGACTTCAAATCCAAATATTCTAAGCTGCAGCAGAAGCAACAAGAGCAGCAGCAGCAGCAGCAGCAGCAGCAGCAGCAGCAACAGGTGCAGCAACAGCAGCAACAGCAGCACTAGCAGCAGCAGATGCCTGGGCGCATATTTGAAGCGCCTTTTTCTGCGCCGCGTGCGCCGAGGCCCACACCGCAAGGTCTAGGGTTTAGAACTGAGGGTTTAGGGTTTAGGGTTTAGGGTTTAGGGTTTAGGGTTTACTTGCAGCAAACTGCCAGGGCCTTCTGGGCCTCCAACCCCACAGCACTTCTGCCCAAAGTCAAACACCGCAGGGGCCCCCCAACCCGCAGCAAAAGGGCCCCCAAGACCCTATCGCTAATCCAGGGGGCCCCCCCCCCTTCAAGGCACTTAAGTTGGCTGCAGCAGCCGGGGGGCCCCCCGGGGGCCCCCTGGGGGGCCCCCTCTGGGGGCCCCTGGGGGGCCCCCTGGGGGGGCCCCTCGAGCGGCCCCTCAAAGAGCCCCGCAGTCAGGGCCTCCAGGGGGTCCCCCAGGGGGCCCCCCTGGGGGCCCCCCTGGGGGCCCCCAGGGGGGCCCCCCTGGGGGGCCCCCTGGGGGGCCCCTGCAGGCGGGGGGCCCCCGGACCCTCCAACAAAAGGGGGCCCCCAGTAATATTCTATAGGGGGGGGGGGGCTGCTGGGGGGGGGGCCCCCCTGGGGCTGAGGGGTTTTCTTTTTCTTCTTTTTGACCTTTTTAGTTTTTGCAGAAGTTTTTAACTTCTCCTGTTTTCGGGGGGCCCCCCGGGGGCCCCCCTGAGGGGCCCCCCGAGGGGTCCCCTGTGAGGGCCCCCGTGAGGGCCCCCTCGAGGGGCCCCTTGAGGGGCCCCGGGGGGCCCCCTCGGGGGCCCCCTGGGGGGCGCTTTGTACCCTTTCTGGAGGGGGGAACTGGGGCAGCCGGGGCCCCTCGTGGGGGGCCCCCGGGGGGGCCCCCGGGGGGGCCCCCGGGGGGGCCCCCGGGGGGGCCCCCCTGTACCTATGCATTAATGGCAAAGGAGTTAAGTGGTAAAGAATTGCATTTGT